ATGGAAATTAATCAATAAACAGAAGGTTGATTTGGAATTCTTATGTAATTTTTAAAACAAATGTTTTTAAAGTACATGTACATTGTATTTTTTTATTACAGTTTACTTAAAGGGGCATTATGCAGCTTTTCTGATGGGAGTCTGCTACTTGCTTGTCTCCATGGAGATACTATTCCTTTAACTGGAAAGTCATACAGTATATCACTAAATTTACCTATGCAACCTATTATAAGTTATAGCTGTATTATAAATTATAAGTGTGTGCAAATCATTATTACTGTGAGAATTGTCATTCCACAGAGCTGACTTGTAACTTGACCTGGGAACATTAACATTTTGTCTTTATAGAGATAGTTTGGTTTAATGCAATACTCCACATCTCCATAGAGACAAATCAGTGGCTTACCCTTCAAAAGACGTGGTCATAGGTTCATAGACTGGTCTGAATGTTGTTCTTTTGCCCAGATCTTAGTGTTCACAGCCTCAGTCCCACAGCAGACATTTGTGTTTAGATTTGTGAATGAGACAGCCACAGCTGAACAAATGCATGAACATGCGGTCTACCTACCAGAACCATGACAGTGCTCCTTCTGGTGCCTCTGATGTGAGTGTGCCCAATGGAGCAGTGCTGTGTGGAGGGGCCTGGACAGGGGACACACTCCACTCCCTGGTCTCCATGATGACTGTGTGTCAGCAGTGTAAGTAACAGGGCATGGACGTGATCTACTTTAGAGACGCTGGCAGAAGTTACAGGTACACAGGTACACTAGGTACTGTACTAGGTAGGTACACTAAGTATACAAGCATGGACACATATTTACATTTTTTTGCACTACTCAAATGTCAATGTCAGATGTCAATAACCTTAACAAACCTTTTTAATCTCATGTTTATCATATAAATAATATAATATTTGTAACACTTTTTTATCATTTTGTTGATTTTTTAAATCAGCAGTGATCTACTTAAGCTGCTCACAGCAGAGGTCGTGCAGATGTCTGGAAACGCTCCTCACTTCTTCTCCGTGCGACTACTGAAGGCCTAGGTGTGAAATGCATGGTCCATCACTGGCTTTACACAGTAAAGTAAAACAAACTTAATGTCCAGATCCAGAGATGCATTTACCAAGACTTAACAGGCAAACAACAAGCATACATATTCAAGCCTATTTGCTGCCTCTTCTGCTGGGCAGCAAAAACACAAAAGGTAAATAATAGCAAATTAGACTAAACAAATTAGCAAATGTAACATTAACATAGCAAACATGTATTATACAAATTAACTAAATTAAAGTAGTACACTAATTGAGAAACAAAAATAATAATCTAATTTTAGAATAAACTAAATAAGCAAATGGACTACTTATTTATTGTTCTGTCATTCGCTCAGTGTCCGCGTGAGGGCGCTAAGCACAGAAACACGTGTGTGATGGGCCGCAGAAGTACAGTGCTGTTTGTTGTGGAGGGAAACTGCTAATGCTAGTTTAGCTTTAGCTGTAGCAGGAAACTGTCGTGTTTTACTCCCAGGTTTTTAGTTCGTGCTTGTGTGAGATCGGGGCCGCTTCAGAGAGTCTTGGTGTTGATGTGAGTGGATGAGATGGCGTACCAGCTGTACAGAAACACCACGCTGGGAAACAGTCTGCAGGAGAGTCTGGACGAGCTCATCCAGGTAACACACTTAGCTCCAGGTTAGCATGCGGCTAATGCCCCGGGCTATACTCTTTAACGAAGCTAAATCTTGAGGGAAACTGGAAATGTCACACCGAAGAAACGATGTACGGGTTGCGTGATTGATACATAAACGGAAAAGTTCACTGACAAGAAATATGTGTGTTTTAATGAGTCGTTGTTTGCACGTCAGATTCAATTCTGTTCTGTGATTGAGTCAAACATGGGGTGATCATATGTCCCTATTTACCCGGGACAGTCCCAGTTTTGAGCCATGTGTCCCCTGTCTCAGCAGATTTATACAAAACTAGCGATTTGTCCCAGTTTTACACAAGAAATGTCCCTGGTGTCCCCATTTTTGACCAATATGATTCCTGCTAACAGTAAAGAGAGACATGCAGTTATTTGTTTAGGTAAAATACAGAAAAGCTGCTTAAAAATGACCAAAACACAAAGAAAATGTATGAATGTCATGAATAGGCCAAGTGCAGAACAGTTTTCCTTATTTACACACTCGTTTTACTATGTTATTATTACCAACCACCAGAAAGCAGGGTGTCCCAGATTTTTATCTTGAAAGTCTTGTCACCCTACTCAAACATACAGTTTTCTGCATCTTAACACCAACTGTTCCCTACAGTTCAAAAAAAAAAAATTGTGTTGTAATAAAAGTAACAAATTTGGCTGCAGTTAATGATCAAATTTTTCTCTAGTGTGTCTTGAAGATTTTTTAAACCAGTTTAATCCAAAATATATACTAAATACTATGTTGCGTGTATTATTTATCATTAAAGGGCTTAACACACAAATCCCCTTGTTTAGACTGAGTTCTTTTCTCACACAGAAAACACTCCGTTCCACACTGTAATACAGGAAGTGCTCCATTGTGTTTTTTAAAAACTCCATACACCTTCACTAGAATCATTTGGATGATTTCAGCCTTGGAATTTTCAATCTCTACTGAACTAAAAGTAAAGGGTAGCTATTAACTTGAAAACTCCCACTACATGATATCACAAGGTGGAACAGAGCATTTTGAGCTTTGGAGATGTAGACAGACTAATAAGAAGGGTTACTCAAACGTGTGAACAAAACACAACTCCTGGTATGTTGCTGATATGCAGAAATATCAACATTACTTAAAGTTCACAAGAGTCAATTTTGCGTAACATAAGACCTTTAAAGTAACCTTGTCTCATTCTAACGGCCTTGTTTTTGCTATCAAACCTGTTTAATCAAGCAAACAGCATATGATAGTCAGTTTATGATCCAGAAAATGATCATACAATTATTAAAATGATCGATGATTTTTTTTTTTTTTAGTTTCTTTGTGTAGTTAAAGTTATTTATCCTATTAAAGGTGCATTGTGTAACATTTCCGGTGGAGTGTCTCTCGCCTGCTTGTCTCTATGGATCTGCCATTGCTCTGCTTAGAATGTTAGTATGACATTACATTTAATAAATGTAAGGTAGAGCAATTCAATAGTTTTATAGCTCAAAAATACTTAGAAAAACAGGCATATTGACTGTGAGTGGGGTGTGTCTCCACAGATATGACCTATAACTTGGTCTGGTTTGGTCTCCATGAAGATAGAAAGATTTAATACCATACTATGAAACAGCACAGACAAAGTAATAACATCTCCATGGAGAAAAGCATTTGACAGAGCTTCCACCCGAAACGTTACACAATGCACCTTTAACAACCTTTTAACTGATGCATGTCGAGTAGGAATTTAAGATAGGATATGACAGGATCCTGATGCATCCCCCATTCTCCAGTCCAGTTCGCCAGCCCTGTAGGCCTATGTGCAGTGTGTGTGACTATCTTTTCCCCTTTGTTTCTGTGTGTGAGCAGACCCAGCAAATCACCCCTCAGCTGGCTCTCCAGGTACTGCTGCAGTTCGATAAAGCCATCAACACAGCACTGGCCAACCGAGTCCGCAACAGAGTCAACTTCAGAGTGAGTCAGATCCTCCAAGAACACTTTACATGCACCCATGCTAGGCTTCCATAGTTTTTGGGCACATTACATTGACTCACATGTGTTTCCCGGAGACTGATCCTAATCTTAACCATAGGTACTTCTTGCCTGACCATAGCCTGAACTCTAACTTTAACATATTTAAACTATAGCTCAACTGTACATCTTAAATCATGTGGTTGATGTATTTTCTCCTTTTTCCATCTTGTTTTGGTAACTCATCACCAGGATAAATGTTCTTTTTCTTGACCATGTGTACACTGCTTTTCTGGTTTGACTCTGTGTGTTTCCCTCACAGGGCTCCCTAAACACCTACAGGTTTTGTGACAACGTCTGGACGTTTGTTCTGAATGATGTGGAGTTCCGAGAGGTCACAGATTTGGTCAAAGTAGACAAGGTCAAGATTGTGGCGTGTGACGGCAAAAGTGAGTGTAATATGTCTGATACAGTCACCTGATCAGCTAAGAAGACATGCTCTGACTTACCAGCTCACAACTTGGGCTAAACAATATAGCGCAATCAAATGGAAATTGCCTTTTTGTAAAAACTAACATTTTAGTAACCATTGTAGTTTAGACTTCCTACAAACATGAAATGCATAGGATTAGTTTAACTGTGAATATTTTTACTCATCTTGAATTTCACACACTGCTTTTTGACATCTGATGGATTACTGGGGAATAGAACACATGTTGAATCAACACATAACATTGTGGGAAACCCAGTATGTGTGAGAGACAAGGTAGTGAACAGCTGTTAGCATTCAAAGAATAATTTTCGTTGAGACAGAGTAAAATGTTCCTGGCTACTTTTTTACTGATGTAACCAGTGGACCATGTTGAGCAGTTAATTTGCTCAAATGACCTTGTCTAGACAATTCTCTAAGTTGATTATTGATAACAGTTGTAAGTACTGAGTTTGAGATAACCATACACTAGACATGGCTGTTTTATTCATGGTTTCTCTGTGTTCTCTGCAGATTCTGGCTCAAATGCAGCGGAGTGACCCTCTCTGGACTTGCGCTTGGACCTGGACTGTACATATTATTTATTGGAGCAGTGGCACTGCTATGTTTGAGCGTGTGCACGTGGGCGCGTGCACGTGACCAGTCTGTGCACACCACACTTTTCTTTTTTACAGGATCATTTGACACCATGCTTGTGTTGGGCTTGCCATTATCAAGCTGCATTATCTTTAATAAAAATATTTAAAAATGACTCTGGCCTTTGAACAGTGTAAGAACAAATTTACCACTTACAAGATATTTTCCATTCATTTCTTTGATTGTGTTTATGTGGTCAAATAGTAGCAAGATCACACCTGTTCTCTTTTTGTCAAGAGTAAACAGATCACATGGGAAAGATGGCTTTATTTTAACAGCATGTTTATAGTATAAATGACAGCTTCTTAAATTGAAATATATACAAGCATCCATAAGTAGTTTTTTGGACATGTGGTAAACATACAGCTCCAGGGCTTCCAAGCTTGACATTAACACTAGCCTAATGACCAAAATGCTGGTTGGTTTTAATGTTAGCTAGTAAAAAATTCACATATCCTTACATTGTCAATACTGTATATCTGACTTCCACAGTATCGTGTTACTGCTAGGTTTGAACTGTCTCCTTAGTAAAAATGACTCTACTAAAACAGTTTTCATAGTAAAAACAAATAAAAGGGTAAACAATTAGAAGAAAGAGCAAGAAATGTACTAAATATACAATTCTCATAAGGTGCGTCACATTTGTTCTCTAGTTTGGACCTGCTCTGAGCCCAGAGTAGTCTTGACGTAAACTTGGTTTAGTCCTGTTCAAGTCAAATTTATTTAGAATTTTGTGTATAAACGCATCCATAGTTTATTATGATTATTCCAAAAATGGTGGTTAGTGACTCTCCTATATTCTATGGCTTCTTTTCCTAAACTATGGCAGCATGGAATGGAAGAATTTTCACTACAACAGAAAGATGGTGGATCTAACAATATTAAACATGCACCAGGTATTTTGTTGATTTGCCATGCAATTAGGAGCATCATTATTGTCTCCAAAATGAGGACAAGCTAATTAGATAAAGTAGGTTTTGCAGTGCAGTTACAATATGTGGAGTATATAAAACAGTTAAAATTATTTCAGTATCAGAATGTAATGTAAAAAATATACACATTAGAGCACCATCCTGTCTTATATTTTATCTTGTTTTAATACATACAGTTGTCCAAATTGGTTGTTTTTAATAGTCATATTCTAAATTGATTCAAATTGCAATGGAGGAAAGAATTAATTTTTTTAAGCTTTATTCAATAATCTCTCTTGTTTCAAAGAGTAAATAGGTCTCTGTATGTACACTAGCTACAGCTACTACAGTTCTAATATTTGCTTAATTTATCCTCCTCAGCTAAATTCTTGTTTAGAAGAACTACTGTGGCAACAATGTAGTCCAATTTTAGACCTGGAACAGACTTTCTATAAACCTGATAAAGATCCGGTGGTACTCCGTGTTTTTCTTTTACATTATAGTTGGTGTAAAATGATTGTGATTTACTGTTGCAGAACTAATGCTTCCGTAACTATGAAACAAGTGGACTGGGTGCTTGGCTGCACAGTGGGTGACATTCAAAAAACAATAAATGTATACATAACATTAATAGCTGCCACACTTTACATGTAAAAAAAAAATGGAAGGAATTCAGGTTTGATTAAGGCAGCACCATATGAGAAAATAATAACTATACAAACACAGTTAACACAGTCATTTGTAATATTGATAGTGCATTAGCGGATATGGCCATACGTTTGTATACCGTACTGCTGTCATCAAATAAAAGAGTATTACTCAAGATGGAAAATTATTGCTGTATTGCTTTGAATAGGTTGCATTCACGTGACATAACAATCTGAAATAAGGTTGTCAAAGATATCAAAAATCAGATATTTATCGATACTAAAATAGCTTTAGAATGATCTTGAGCTATATCAGAAGAAGTATAAAAGCGCATAGGCTAGTATACGCCCATGGACCACTATGGAACATAACTGGACCACTGAGGGATAACACACATATCAGGCCGCATGGTAACATAAGAAAGTACTATGATTTAATGCTGAAAATCACATTATATTGTCTAAAGAAAAAGTGTTTTTAATTATTTTATTATCACTATTGGTATTGAGTATCAAAATCAAGTTTGAAATGTACACTATTCTAGAGGATAATTTAGAATTCTGTTGTGGAATTTGCTATTTACCTGTCAAAGTGCAGTTTTGTTGACCTGGTTTGACCTGTAATTGCTAAAGCTGACACAAAGTTCAATGTTTTGTTCAGTCAGTATAAATAAACAAAAGCATTTTTTTTTTTTTTTTTTGCGTGAGAATGTAGTGCAATCATCAATTCCAAAGAGTGATTATTGTGAGTTGAAAATGAAGATCACCATGGCAAGTTTGTGGAACCAGTCCCTAACAATAACGATAAGGCTGAACATTTATCGCTCATATGTTTGGAGATTTGTGAAAAAATAAAAATAAAATCCAAAGTTATGACATCAAATTCTAGATCGTGAACACAACCTATATAGCTGCTTAGAGAGTTAGGAGTAGACAGCTGCTCTTAACCTGAGCAAAGCACTTCTATACAGCCCTGCAATAACTGAACGAGTCCAGGAAGTGTTTTACAATGTCATACAAAAAGCATGTTTCAAAAAGAATACAAAAATGTCCATCAAAGAGGTCCATTATGAAAAATATACACAGAAAAATATATACAGTACATTCCCGCTCTTGTCCACCAGATGAAGCTGTTGTGTAAGCCAGAGTCTGTCACAGGACCGGTCTAGTCCAGAAAGCGTTGGCAGGCCTTCTTCCAGCGACACGCGGTGCACCACTGCTCTCTGTGCTCAATGCCATAAACTTTACGGCATTTCTTGGCTTCACCACGAACCCTCCTGTCATAAAAACAGAAGTAATTTGTTACATAAAGGTACAGTATGTAACTTTTAGCAAGAACAACAACAACATGTTTATTTTAGGCTTTACAGTGCTTATATTGCACTATTTTCTGGTCTAAGTTATAAAGTTTTCTCATCAAAAACATACCTGGAGTTGTGTTTTGTTTCATTCACACATGTTTATCACACAAACCTTGCATATTTAAGCTAAGTTCTTCTCTCAAACAGAAAACACTCTGTTCCACCTCGTGATGTCATGTGGTAATACAGGAAGTGCTCCACTGTGTTTTTAAACTCCACACACCTTCACTACAATCACTTGGATGATTTCAGACCTGGAATTGCCAATCTGGACTGAAGTAAAGGTAGGTAAAGGGAGCTGTTAACTTGAAAACTTGAAAACCACTGCTTCATGACATCACAAGGTGGAACAGAGCATTTTGAGCTTTGAAGACATGTACGGAATATTGTAGGATTACTCAAACATGTATGAAAGAAACGAAACACAACTCTGGGTCAGGTTTTTGATGAGATAACAGCATTTTAACATGGATAAAAGCTCATAAGAATCAATTTTGTATAGGACCTTTAAAGGTACACTATGTACATTTTCTGAAGGAGGGTCCACCACCTGCTTTCCACCATATAACTGTTTTGTCTGGAATATTCCACAGGATGGAATTACATGTAAATCATGATGGAGAAAAGAAAGTAACCACACCAGGCCAAATTACAAGGTATTTTGGGCAGTAAAAACAGCTCTAAGTGAAACAATACAAGATCGATAACTTCAGTGCCACACACTAGAATGTTCCGGACATCTCCATGGAGACGAGCAGGTGACCAGGCGCTCATCAGAAAAGTTGCATAGTGCAGGTTTAACTTTTAACTTTAGAACATTTAGGCCAAGGTAACAGAATAAGAGATGAGCTGTTTTTTTCCCTGATAAAAAATGTAAAAATAACAAGGATACAACAATGTGCACCAACCTGCAGGGGGCACTCTGCTGCAGCCACTGCTCACCCACACTGACGGAGCGCACTCTGTGATGCAGGGCCTATGAGAGGAGAGCAGGTCATATTAGGTATAATTGAATCAGGGGAGGGCAAACTTGAATCTGGACATGTGTTTACCATCAGTAACTCCTGGATTGTTTTTACTCTTAATGACATTACTACAGTTCTTTAAATGCAGTGCAACTAATGACATTTTGATCATGATTCAGTCATTCATAACTGTCCATAATCACTGTGGGTCTTTTTATTCGAGATGCCTATAGCCAATCCTCTGTACTGTGTGTGGTTCAGACTTCTGTGTATTGTTTATGTTTTAATTAATATTTGTATTTAATAAGACAAAATCCAATAATACAAATAAATTGAGACCGATCAATATGAAAGGGGAACTTGTTGCTTTTTTGTATTTTGCCCAGCCCCCATTCTCTACTGCACTAAAAGTAGAAGTAAAATGTAGCCGTTAACTTGAGAAAACTTCACAAAACTTCCACTTCACGAAATCACAAGATAAAACAGAGCATTTTGTAAACACTTAATAAAGGTTACTCAAATGTGTGAATGAATAACTCCAGGCATGTTCGGAGGAGATAACATCATTATAACATGGCTTGAAGCTCACAAGAATCCACTTTGTCTAACATAGGACCTTTAAAAGTAAATTTGATACAACTTCAGTAATTTCAGAACTTCCAATTATTGTTTGCATGGTTCTTCATTTCATATCATTAATAATGTAAAAATTTGTCTTCAAATAAACCAAAGCTAAAAGCACCAACACACCTTTGCAATTCATGACATACTATTTGCAACCGTCTGCTCTCGTTTCCAAGGATAGTGACACATTGGCGCTATTAGTCATAAAACACATTGCACAAGTCTTGAGTTTCGGAAATTAACTGTGTATTCTGATTTTGAGTAACTGTATTCTGGTGTAGTTACTCATTCATTTGGTGGTATTCAGACTGGCATTATCTTCCTAAAATTAAAGGAATACGCTGTAGAACTTGTACAATTTAGGCATCAAACTGCACAATATTAGTAAGAAAAACAAAAAACTGCGCATGTGCATATGTGATTTTTGTTTGTCTCTAAATAGGGACAAATAAATGCAATAACAAACTTAAAGCTGTTTTCTTCTATATCACGTTTTTACTCTATAATATAATGCAATTCAATGTAAAAAAAAATTCAGAAAACAATACTCTGACTGGACCATATATTAGAATATGTTACAAAATACATTTTAAAGCAGGTATTCTGTATTCTGTAACCACTAGGGGTTGCGAAAATTATCAAAATTCACTTATCAATACTAAAACTAGTATCAAAACTGCATGCTCATTTGAGTCAGTATCAATACTAAAAAAGTCACATTCAACAGGACAAAAATTAACTATTCCTGAATAGCTTTAGAACGAATTTGAGCTGTATCAGAACAAGTATAAGAGCACATAGACTAGTATACACCCATGGACCACTATGGAATCTACCCGGACCACTGAAAGATTACACAGATATAACACCACAGGCTAATATAAAAGAAAGTACTACGATTTAATGTTGAAAATCTAATTCTATTGTTCAAAGAAGAAGTGTTTTTATTATCACTGTGGTAGTGTTGATGATCAAGTCTATTCCTTAGTATCAAAATTGATTTTGAAATTGTAGTATCGTGACAGTTTCAAAGTATGCTTCCATGTACTGATGTCTGTCTCTCACCTGTTTGTTGTGAGTGCTGCTGGGAGTGGTCCAGTGACAGGCTGCACTGGGAACTGCAGCAGTGAGCACAGGGGGCGGAGCCTAAAACACACATGAAACAGAGAATCGTCAGTACACAGTTCTGTGGTTCTGAAATCTCCATTCTGAGACGCTAGTGTTGTACCTGGTATGAGTGCTCTACTTGCACCTGCCAAAAAGCGCCAGAGGAAGAGGACGGGGCGGAGCTACTGAGGGCAGGTGAGGACGGGGGAGGGGAGCTGCAGGCAGGTGAGGACAGTTGGTGTGTGGGTGATGCAGGTGTGCACTGTGGGGGCGTGGTCTGGGACTGGGTGATTTCTGTGTAGTAAAAATCCTCCTCACTGCGAGAACAGCGCTCATATTCACCTCCACAACTGTAAGCACCAAGTGGACAAGTCAGCCATGTTTTTATCAATTTACAATAATAAGACACACACGAAATATACAACCCACACCTGTTTAAGTGCATTGTGCGCACATGTCTCTTGATGCCCACAATGGAGGTCAGGACCTTCTCACAGCCGGGCCACAGGCACCTGAAGGATGCATGCTCCGAGTTCTGCAACACAGCACAGTCAGTCCCGCCCACACTCACAGGTCAGAGGTCACAAGTTAGAGGTCAGAGCGGAGCCTACCCTGCGTCTCCTCGGAGCCGGCTCCTCAAACAGCTCCAGCTCCATACCCTCATCAGAGGTGGTGGTCTGGTCGCCGTCGGGCTCTGTGATTGGTGGAGAGGCTGCAGGACTTCCTCTGCTGTGGCCCACACTCCAGTAGCCGCTGCTGCAGTCGGACAGCTCACCTCCACAGTCAGCAACAGCAGCTAAACACATACAATATGATCAGTCTCCTCTGCAATGAGTTCACATCTGCCACTATTTAAAATAAATGATTGTGTCCCATAGGACTCTGACAGACAGTTAAGCACCATGAAATGGAGAGTGAGCTGAGGGGAAGTTTTCCATAACCAAACTCTTAGCCATGCCGACCACAATGCCAGCAGAACACACAGGGTTAAAGAGGGAGTTGGAGTCTGTGAGTGTGCCTTCTCCACACAGTCAGCAAAAAACATGCATGTGTGGATGACAATTAATAACTGTGTGTGTGTTTCATAGTAACTTAGCTTAGCCTGACAAAAGTGTAGAGCATGTTCTCTGCTCTAACAGCCCCAAAGTTGAGATGTATATAAATGAAGGCATTGTTTGGAATCTTGTGCTGAGTCAGGTGAATGTGCATGGACTTTAAAAACATGGTCTTTAAACAAAGATGAAAGGAGCTGTGAGTAGTGAGGAAGACAAACCTGAGGGCTCCGGCTGGGCAGGGCTGTGGAGCAGAGGACTACAGGACAAACTGCTGAGCACCATGGCAGCCATCAGCTCATCCATGTCCACCTCCTGATGCCTGCTAAGAGGACAGACGAGACTCAGGCAGTGGTCTCTGGGTGCCTCCCTTATAGGACAGTAATATCCCTCACAACTTTCTTGGTGTTTTTAAAATATTCTGTGTAATATTTAAATTCCTAACCTTTTAGGCACATCAATGGACGAGGACATAAGTCTGCTGCAGTTGGATGTTTCGTTCTCTGAATGTTCTGCTTCACACTGAGACACCTACCACAAACAATCGCAGTACAGTATTAGACGCATAAATACCTTGAATGGATTCTTGTCTCAACCCCCAAATCCAAATCTCTGGGAAGGATTGACAGGCATTTTTCTGATTAATACAAACAGTTCATCATTCTTTAACCAAAGCACCAAATAGAATAATGTATGGTACGCAAACTATTTATTAGAACAAAAGGGAAAGCCAGTTGTACAAATTGCTGATTAGTAGATTCGCAAGAATTAAGTGTGACAGTTACTGAATGAGACTTCAGCAGAATTGTGACCCAGGAAAGGACATAAAAGGCCTATTCCTGATTTCAAACTAGGAGTCATGAACATGTTTTATTCTGAACTTCTGAACTTCGATCCGCCCATTTAGACCTTTCTGCCGCTGCGATATTTCATCATGACACAGAAACAGCTGTCTGAGATGGTGTCATGCAGCTGAGGCAATATCACCCCATGATTCTTAAATACAATGTGTCTGATTGGATGGAAACAGATGACCCTGATAGCAGCTTCTGTAACAGTAACTGCACAAGAAAATGCTATGTAAAATCTTAAAACCAAGTATAGGCCCTTTAGCTTCTGTTAATCAGAGCCAGAGGTGGAAAAGGCTCAAACATTTGCTTAGAATGATATAAATCTATTTGAGAGATGTCTTTTGATTTAAATAACTGGGAATGCAAATAGCAGTAATAGACTATGCGACCCTCGTAAGCTATCATTGAAACTAGTAAAACACAACAATGTACCACTCATGGATCTATTAAAATAACAGTACCACTCTGAGACTTACCGTGAACCCCAGCTTGACCTGTTCGCTGTGACTCTCCTGGTCATGGCGGACGGTGGGGGGGCAGGCGGAGTTCAGCAGCGCCCCGAATGGAGAGCGCTTCCCCAGGCGAGTCTTAGGAAACATCTGTGTCAGGTACAGATCCTTCTGCACACACCAAAGGTCACAGGGTTACTCCTGAAGTATTATGTGGTATTTAGTTGGAGACTAAATATATTGATATTTCTGTCAAGAAAGTTAAAAGTTAAGAGAAAGGACAGGTGGGACTGGATCTAAACAGCTGCTGTAGTCAACTAAAGAAATTTTGGCTCCCTGCTAAGCAATGTAGACTAAAAAGGAGGTGTGGCATAAGCTCTGAAAACTATTACGTATCCCTTCATTTCTGACTCAAACTGCACTCACAAGACAGGAAGTTAAAGCAAAAACAAATACTTATACATAAAAAAACCTACTAGGAAACAATGTATTTATATAAAGACAAACGTGAATGGTGAATTTTATCTGCCTTTTGACATTAAAATATCTGACTTCCCAGAGCTCGTAGAATATATTTGGCCTGAAACAACTTCAGATTTAAACTGCTAATGGTTGGCTTTTGCATATAAGAGTGATTTTAAATGCTATTAAAACTGGGATAGAAAATTGTAAGTGCAATTTTGGCAGCAGTACTTGTAACTGAGTACATTTTTTAACATGAAATCTACTTTTACATGAGTACAGATTTTCGGTAGCCTTTTCTTTCCACCACTGAATATAAATCAAATAAAACCATAGTGCTTATCATTATTATTATGAATGCTTTGAAGTGTTGCCTTTAATTAAGAGAAGGAAGCAGTGCATTCCAGCCTGTGTGACACTGAGCTCCTTGTCCTTCCTTGACCTCACTATATTTCATGATAACTGACATGCACCCCTCCCTGTATCCCCATCCACAACAACACACACCCCACACCGACACACCCCCATGCGCTGTGGGCCAATCAAAAGACTCTCCCTACTGTACATCCTTCACAATAAAAGACTCTTATAACTGGGGGCAGCAACAACAACAACCCCACCAACTGTCGTGAAACTCAATGTAGTAATCCCCACTAGACAAAACAAAGTGATCTTAGTATGCGCAAAGTTTGGCACATTCAAAATTTCACTTATTCATTCCCTTAGGCAGTTGGGAACACTTTTTGAGCTATAAAAACACAAACAAAAAGCATAATAAACCACCTTCCAACTTCCATTCAAACCCATGCTTATTTATTTTAAAGCAAGCACAACATTTCGATGTGAATGATCGGCAAGGTGTGCAGAAATTGTTTTAATCAATCTATGACCAAACCTATACAAAATACCCACGTTTAAACCTTTCTACGTGCAGGGTAAAGCCAATAAAGTTTTGCATTGCTTACAGTATCATAAAATTAGCATACGGCAATGGAAACTTACCTGAATGAAGTCAGTCAAAACAAGCCTCTTCTCTGCGTGCACGGTGGAACACAGTGAGTGAACAGGCTGTATCCAGTTTGTGCTCCACAGAAAAGAGACAGAAAAATCCCGGACTGGATATTACACCCCCACAATCGCATAGCTCCACGTGACATGTGCTTTATCTTCGCTTGTTTACGCGTTTTACCGCTTTTACGCAATTTACCAATTTCTACTCTGGACGCGTAACGTAAAGCGCAACCATATGTATCCACCGAACCTTTCTATTTCTTCTTCTATGTATGATATTTGTGAGTATGAGAAGTGGATTTCCCTCACAGCAGATCCGGGTTTTCGCACAGTCCCGCCGCAGCCTGTAGTAAACAAGGAAACCACGTGTGACGCAGCGCGGCACGGATTGGGTACTCTACGCGGAGTAGAAACACACCCCTCTCTGAACTGTTGTTTACTGCAGCTCTTCTCAACTCACGTACGGCACGTTATAGCTAATGACTGTACTGGCTTTTCCCGTCATCACCCCACAACTTACGTGATAGTACATTTAGGGTCTGAATCACTCCATCTTAATCACGCACCCTCAGTAAAGTCTCACCATGTAACTTTTTTGGCGATGATATCCTCCCATTGGTCTATTAAAATATCTTCAAATTACTTGTCCCCATGGAGATAGTAATGATGTGTCAGGAATGTTCAGTTATTCAATTACACGCGTTTTTACTGCTCAAAAATACCTCGAAATAGACACATTCTTTCTGAGATGCGCTTGTCTTTCCACAGATTTGACATGTAACTGTTGTAAATGGTGTTGTTGTCAGTTTGTATCCACTTACATAGAAAAGTTAAATGCCTTTGCTTTGCCTGGGATATTCCACAGTAGGGCATTAAGTTACATAATGCACCTTTAATGAGCCTAATTAATTTGCTTATCTTCCATTCCAATTAGGATCCGTATTGTTAACATGGCTTTGTTGTTTACTGTGACTATTGGCAAACATACCAGTGTCTTTGTGTGAACTGCTTTATTGGTTTTATCACAGTTTATAAGAAAATTACAATTATTATATATTATTACTGTACTGTTTGTTTACGCGACCATCCTGATCCTTCTTTACGCACAGAGAAGCCAAATCAAGTCCAACCAAAAATTCACGGTCTGTGGAAGAGTCAGTTCTTCAGTTTGGAATTTGATTTTTACTGTAACCAGTGTTGTCTAAAGTCATAAGTAGGTCATGTAGCTGAGAGATCCTGGAGACCCCCCCTCACACATGTTGTGCACTGTTTTTAAAATGAAAGTAAGACTAATTTCAAATAGAGCTGCTAAACTGGGCAGTGCCTGTGGACTGAAAGAGAGAGAAAGAGGAAGAGGGGCGGAGTCTAGAGGTATAAGGAACCGTGTGATTGGTCTAACAAGTATCCACGCTTCAAACTCCGCCCCCTGCAGTGAAGCGATTGTAATCAGACACCTAGCTGTATTTAGGACAGTCTTTTGTGATGTCACTAACTACTGGAAATTGCAGAGGCCTCTGACGACAGCACACACTTACATTTAGGTGTTTTTGACCAGAAAGCTGTAGATTGATGAAAATGAATACTTCAGTACTGAAACTTCTAATCAAGACTTGAGACATGCTCTTACATTCAGTGAAACAACAGTTGAAATCAAGTTGTTTTAACTAAAATTTCAACAAAATATAGAACATTTGATATTATATTAAAGTTCTCTGTAAAAATGTTAATTGTTACATATAGCCAAGCTGGAGCCCATGGTAGAACTTTGTGTTACAGCTGCCTTGACTGTTTCGATGTTTTTGCCAGCTTAGTTTTTTGTTTATCTGAGTGCAGCATTTTGGTCCACTGCATTTTTTTAACAGGTGATTCCGAGTTTTTAGTTACATAGGGCACCTTTAAATTCCTCTAAATAAAGCTGGAATGGCAAGTCAGCCCCATACTCGTCAGCGTCAATTCTATCATCGTCCTGCGTGCATCTGTGCTTCTAAATGGCTTTTCCATTGAGGGATCATCCCTGGAACGTTGTCACTGCTGTGGTCTGAAAGCACAAAGAGGATGTGGGTTTAAAGGGCCCATTTCATGTTGTTTTCTGATCTATATTATAATGTTGTTTCCTCATCAGAAACATTCCTGAAGTTGTGTTTTGTTTCATTCACACGTTTAATACTTAAGTTTAACACACAAACGCTGCATATTTTAAGATGAATTCTTCTTCCAAACTATAAACACTCTGTTCCACCTTGTAAAGTTGAGTGTTATAGAGGAAGTGCTCCGCTGTGTTTTTAAACTCTATACACCTCCACTAGAATTATTTGTATAATTTCAGACCTGGAAAACTACTGCTATGTGACATCACAAGGTGGAGCAGAGCATTCGGAGCTTTGGTGATGTAGATAGACTAATAAACCAAGATCACTCAAACGTGTGTGAATGAAGCAAAATAGAACTCCAGGTCTGTTTTTGAGGAGGTTATAACATTATAACATGGCTTAAAGCACAAGAGTACATTGTGTAATATAAGACCTTTAAATGTCCCTTCAGTAGTGAGTGAAGATGTGCCCCAAACCTTGGACTTGTGGCTCCCCCAAGTGGCTTCTCCATGAAGTGACGTGAGGGTTGTCCTGTACATCAGCGAAGTCTAACACACACACAGACACACACTCATGTTGAAAATATTCCCATGGATCAAACATCTTATACCTGGCTTAAAACAAACCTGTGGCATTCTGTTTAATGGGGTAGTCTTGGGTTTCTTCCAGCTTCACCTGTCAATCACAGCACATCCTGAACAACTTTAACCAGTACACACGAGCAGAACTGCTGTTGTTGTTTCTGATGTTGATACTTAATGTATTCAGTTCAAATTAAGACTGGGACACTATGTATGTATCCTATTCTCTTTGGATCTGTGACATGTTTGTATGTGATATTCTCTGAGCAGAATCATGTTGATGCTCTCACCACTCTGACGAGGGCAGATGGGCCCTTCTCTGGTGTAGTGTCCCTCAACTCAAATGAACGCCTGCAACAAACAACACAAAGTCACAAACTAACAGAGCTGTTCATAAAGACGTGAAGAACAGAGTGAAGGAAGCATTCTTAAAGCCAGGCCTGACCCTCTACCACCACACATGTGTAAACTCTACAAATAACCATTAGAGTCAGTCAGGAGTGCACCTGCCGCAGTGGCTGCAAAGAACAGAGAGCAGGACTGTCAGGACCAGGAGCACCAGCCCCATGATGCATATGGTCAGGTCCATCTCAAGCCCCATCAGACCTCAGTTTGGGGGGGGGGTCTTCTCCGCAGCTCTCTATGGGACACAATATACAATGCACAACTGAAGTGAACCTAGAAGTAAACATTAATAATAATTCTCCAAATTACATCAAAGGAGCCTTCTATATAAACACACACTTTCAGCCTGTAGTCTCAGAAGAATCCCTGTAGCCCTAGAAGAAGACTGCTACATTTGTTCAAACATATGTTTCTACTTTACACTGCTATCTTACAGAAAGAAGGAAACAGGGAAATATCCAAAAACAGAAACATGTAAAGATTATTCTCTTGTGTTGTTCTATTGCTGCTTTTTAAACAAAAATTAAGCGAGTGGATGACATAAAAACGCCAAATGTGTTGTGAAAAAGGAGAGGGGTCTTACCTGGACCTGAGGAGCCTGGCCCTGTTCACTGTGTCTGACAGTTCATAGAGCAGGAGTTTTAGAGCAGAAAACAGTGAGAGGGTAAAATGTGGTCAGTCAGATTCTAACTGGCACACACATGCTCCAGGGCAGAGCAGGCAGGACCTTACTGATAGTGTCCAGCTCAAACTGAAGAGGACGTTATCGGGGCCCCGCCCCGGCACACCAGTCTCTATCTACAGAAAAGAGCAGAACGTGTTTGGTGGGACTGAGGAGCCCTGAGGGACACTGAGGATGTGCCTTTAGCCTAGAGCTGTGCGCATATGGGCCCATGACTCCACCCTCCACTTTCACAACATTTTTTAACCGGTTTAGCTGTTAGATCTCAGGTCAGATCAGTCAGAGATATCCTCAAAAACACAAT